ATAATTTGTTTTTTAACTCAATTTTCTTTTATTTTTATCTTTTTCCTTTTTATTTGGATGTAATATTTCTAATTTTAGATGACTATTTTTTTCATTTTCTCAATTTAATAATGAACAGCTTAAAAGCTAAAAAGTTGCCGCTTTTAAATAAAGCTTTGTTCATACTTCTTAAATTTTATATGTATATTTTCATTACTATTATCATCTAAATAGTCTGTGGTAGTACTTTTTAATTTATTTGTTATTGGTTCATTAGTTGCTTATATGATGTTTGTTTTTCTTTTTAAATTTTCAATTTATTAGAATCCTGTTTTTTTTACCTCTGTTATTACTTTCTGGGTTTTTTGCTCTGCTAATATGCTCTATAAATTTGTACTTTTCTGGAATTTGTGTTTGTGTGAGAAATACTCCTCTTGGGCAGTTAAATAATGGTGTTTTGCAATGATTTTTAGTTAAAAAATAATGAAACCTTTCTTTATTGATGATATACAGATTCATTATATAAAATCAAAGTTCTTCTGGTTGAAGATGTAGGGGGAGGATAGAGGCTAGAGTCCTAGCAAACCTCTCCTCACCTTCCCCGAAGAGCACCATGAAATCTTTGGAGTTACCTGGGTAAGATTTTAAAACTGCTGCTGCCCTGGCCAGAATTGCACAGTGGTTAGAGCACTGGCCTGAGCACTGATGAGCCTCCGATTCAATTCCTGTTCAAGGGTATGTACCTGGGTTGCAGGTTCGATACACAGGGGTGTGTGCGTGAGGCAACTGACCTTTCACATCTATATTTCTCTGTCTCTCTGTCTCTCTCTCTCTCTAGCTATCTTTTTCTCTTTCTAAAAATCAATGAAAAAACTATCCTTGGGTGAGGATTAACAAAAAACAAAAGAAAAAAAAACTGCTGCTCATTTCTAAAATGTTTTATATGCATCTATTAGAAAAACATAAATCTTTATTATATTTTTCCCCAAGTCAATCTGTTAAATACTGAGAATGTGGTGTTCCAGTCTGCATAAACAAATGCATTTCTCTGACCTCTCCTGCACCAATCAAAGCTTTCTTTTGATTGGAATGTTTCAATTCTTGGAATTTGATGATTAACATTTTGTATTTACTATCTTCATTATAGGCAGCATCTCTTAGTAACATAAATTATCAACTTTGTTCCATTTTAAAGCTTTTCCCTTTTAATTCTTTTTTCTGTAAACTAAATTACTACCACTAGTATTTGTGTTTGATATCCTTTGATTGCTCTTTTACTTTTACATTTAAAAAATCTAGTAAAATCATATTTCTATTCTTATAGATATAGGACACATGCATATATAGGCAAAGTATATGTATGTAAATGTATATGCATATTTGTGTATATAATGTATGTATCTTAAACTGTAGTTTTCTAGTATATAAATTCTGTATATTTTAATCCTATATACATTAAATTTAAACTTTTTAAGAACCTTTAAGTTTTTAACTCAAGCTTTTCAATTTCTCGGTAACTGTGAAGATTTATCTGACTGGGATTAGGCCTTTTTATGATAAATTTTATCTAAATAATACTTTTGAATTCTTACTCTTAAGGGAATATTATTTTACTTTACTTTATAATTTTAAAAGGCATCGTTCTAGGTAGAAAAAAGGAATAGGAGAAAGAACACACTTCAAAAACCGGGGATGTAGAACCTCTACGCAAGCATGTCAAACTCGTGGCCGGCAGCCATTCACCTCTCTGGCTTCTTCAACTAGTTTTCCAATCTCTTTAGGTCCAAAAATTATAACAATGGGACTCAGAAACACCGGGGATCATCATAACCTCATTATATTGGGGCATAACTGAATGATATACCTCATTTCTCTGGTTATTCAACCTTTATGAGAAACTCTGTGTTTTTAAATCTATGGCCAGGTTAAATTCAGAGGGCCACCAGGGATTTTATTCCATTTAAAAAAATTTTAAGCTGCCTTACATTTTACGTATTTTATTCTGCTTTTTCTCTAGACTCCATACTAGGCCTCTGACTTGGAAACACAAGATGAACAGTCACTGGGGATTTTGGCACCACAATCTGTGTAAAGGCTGCTCTCTCTGGTGAGCTCCAATCTTGGTTCTCTTGTTTACTTTTATCAACGAAGGTTAGTCAGAAGGTAAGAGTTCACCCCAAATTTTAAGCATTTATTTTTATGTCCCCTTCACAAACCTAACGGTTTGTTAGACCAGATATTTAACTTGGTGAGTAATAAACTTGAGCTCCTGAGGTTCTTTAGCAGAAGAGCAACTGGGTCTTAGGCAAAGCTCCTCTGTGAGTGACCACGGTTCCTCCGTTAAGAAAATCCAAACGCGGCTTTTAGCGATCCTTTCTTGGCCTCTGGTTGACACCACTGATGTTCAGTGGATCAGATCTCAAAATTTAGAATGTGAGAAACAGTAAACACACTTGTGTCATTCTGAGGTGGGGTTAAGTGAGGATGAGAGGCGGTTGGAGGGGAGTGTCTTTATATGTATTATTATGCCCACCATTTCCCTGCTTCTCTTTCCCAGTCTCTCAAATACTCTAAAGCAATTATGAATGTTATTTAATCTTTATTTGATAATTTAGAAGGATCTTCAGAGATCAAGGATCATAGCTCTCTAGTAGACTGACACCCAAGTATTAAAAATTTGGTGCTGGAGAGAAAGAAAACGTGTAAGAGTTAACTATCATGATATTGGACTAGCAAGTAATGGATATAAAAATTTAGACATTTTTATATTTAAAATCACATAATACTTAATATTAATGACATAAATTCTGAGTGGAATACAGAGCCAGATAAACACAGAAATCAGCTGAAAAAAATAGAAAAGAACTTTGTTTTTTTGTATGCTTGCTCAATGTTTTAAGAAAAAGCTAGGGTCCCAAGTGAGTTTTTATGTATGTCTGTAAAATTTTTCTCTTCTAAATTACACTTAAGTGAAAATAAAAAGAAGAAAGAAAGAAAAACAATAATAAGCTTTGCTGGTAGGTCTCTACCATTTTCATACATCCTAGAAGAGAAGGTAGTAAACAAAGTTTCTGCAACCGTAAGTGATGCTTAGAGGAAAATTAAATCACTGAGTGATGCCAGGACTGATTATTCTACTGCACTTTAAAAGCAAGAGATTGCAGTCTGTGAGTCCAAAGTGGTTTCATATGGACTGCCACAGTTGTGGTTTACGCTTGAAACTATAACCTGTCAAATTAGAAGCAGGCAAGGCCTGTGCTCTTAACAGTTCCACTTTCTACTGTCTACAGTTATGTCTACAAGTTCAGCACTTTTATTCAGTACGACTGTGTTATTTGGAAGAGTAGAATCTCAAAACTGCTCTTTTTAAAAAACCTTGGTTAGAGAAGATTTCAGTTAGGATATAAAGCTTAGAGAAACTACCAATCTAATTTTTATTATATAGATAACGCTGACTTTCATTGCAACTATTTTTATCAACTATTGATATTTTATTATCCTGGTTAATTCTAAGTAATGTATAATGGAACTACAGGTATGTAAACTGCATAAGTTCCCAAGCTTATTCCAGCCAGCATTGACAGAAACATTACTGACTCTAACTTGTGCCTTAATGACTCATCATCTTTCCGGGCCTACAGTAGCCTGCTATGATGGCTCAGTGTTTCAACACGCTCCACTTCTCTTCTCCTTGATTGGGGAATGCCCTTCCAGGCAATGGGCTTAGTTCACAGAGATTTTCCCATCAAGAATGAAAAGCTACTTGTTCAATTTTACTAATGTTTTATGTAGCGTTCTTCCTTAATGAATCTTCCTTCATGCCCATTTGTATAATGTAAAAATGTTTTTAAAATAAAGCATAAACAATATTTGCTCTCTGTCATAAGTGAAACCATGCCACTAAACAATCATATCCTGTTTAGGCCATAATGACATCAGAAATATATGTTTATCATCTGCATGGGACAACTGAGCATGTTTTTGGCCCAAGGCAGAGTTGAACTAAAACCATTTGCAGTTGCCCCAAACCAAGATAACCACACATTTCTAAGGTAATTGATACCTAAGAAGAACACTGCTTTTAGATCACAGTTCCTGATCTAAGCATACTAATTCTTTAAAGAAGGCTGTTAAAGTTTATAAACCATGTATGTCTATTGGACTTCCTCCAAAATTTAACATGAAATAATTATATTCTTAGCATGCATAGAGACTATGATAAAGTGGGTACTTAGCGCAATCTTTTGGAGTTCTGAAATTACTTCTCTTGCCCAATTTAAAGAGAAAAGGGAAAATGGAAATTTTTTTTTAACATGTAAAAGTATAATAATAATAAGTATCATAAGAATAATGCCTTGTATTTTGGATGGCATTCAAATGAAATCAATCATTACTTTTATTTTCCCAAAGTATTTAAGGAAACAATTTTATGAATAGATAAGCTGAGGTAAATAGAAGGCATACAATTTTCATATTCATTGTTAAAACATATCCAGGGAATCCAAACATATGTCACTAACTTTGTGTTAGAGTGACATATAGCATGTAATTGCCCTGGATACTACCTTAGCTGGTGAGTCCAACCATAGCCTGGAACTACAGCCTGAAATGTTATATGCCAACACAAATGCAGTTAAGGATTACCTTTGCTCACAAAGCTAACTGGATATTTGGAACAAAAATAAATAAATATTTAATCATGAATTAGCTTTTAAAGAATAAAATATTATCAGTAAAACTACCCCCCCCCAAAAAAGAAGGGAGCTGAGGGAAATCTATCTATACTCAAAGAAGGAAACAGAGAAACAGGAAACTGAAGTCCTCTCTCCACATCAACTCTGAAAGCAGAGTCTGACATCCTCTTCAGGCTACTCCACTGCACAATGCTGTCTTCAGACATGAAACCACTGATTGAGGCATTTCAGACGACACGTAAAGAACATAATAACAGAACCAAATAGTATAGGCACTGCGAACTGCAATGTTATTCTTTAATGTAAAAAGGGAAGAATGAACTATACCTCCATTCTTTCTTGTTTAACTTCATCAATTTCATCATCTTCAAACATCGCCAAGAGTTCTCCCGTTTGGTCAATAGAGTTGAGAAAGTCCTGTGCAGTTTTCTGTCTTTTGTTTGCATTATTACTGCCACTCAATTTGTCTTCATGGAGATAAAGGAAATAAAAATAATGTTTAAAAGGTTACATCAGTATTGAATACTGAATATGAAATTACATGTATTGAATACTGAATATGAAATTCAGAATTAAAATTCTCTCAAAATAATTTTTAAAAGAATCCTTGAAATAATTTATTCATCTCATGAGATTGAGAGAATAAAACCAAATTATCAATTATCACAATAAGTGTTAATGGATTGATTAAAATTCCACACCCCTCTCCCCCCAAAAGGGGGAAAGGCTCTCAGATTTGGAAAAAGAATCCTGTTATAGCAGGCCTAGTTAAAAACAAAGACATTAAAAAACCCCATCTGAATTGAGACATTAAATTAAAAGAAGAGATTATTATACCCATTGCTGTGGCAAATATTTGAAACTGAAAGGGATGAGATTTTATTATTTTTCTTTTCAGAGATAAAAACTATCATACTTATTTAAAAGCAAAACATAAGTCTGAGAAAGTTATTACAATATTGCAATAGGTAATTAATAAAGTTTAATGCATTAAAGTATCAGTCTGAATTAGTGAGTAAATTAGTGAGAATGAACTAGATTATTTTTTAATGTGATAAAATATCTCTATTCCAAATAAAGATAACCGAACATCTTAGAATGAAAACATCCATTTTTTTCACTGTTAATGATGATGTGAGCTGTGAGTTTTTCATAGATGGCTATATTGGTCACTTTGGCTGCTATAGTAAATATAGTATAGACTGGATGGCTAAAAAACAAATATTTATTTCTCATAGTTCTGAAGGCTGGGAAGGCCAAGACCAGGTGCTGGTAGATCTGGTGTCTGAGGAAGGCCTGCTCCCTGGTTTGCAGGTGGCAGTCTTCTCATGTCCTCCCATGGCGGATTACCCAGAGCCAAAAGTCTCTCATGAGAGGAACACCCAACAATCTAGGAAGAGAAGGGAACTTTCTCAACCTGACAGAAGTCATTGCTGTGAACTGAGTGTCCCCCCTAAAATGCATATGTTGAAACCTAATCCCCAGTGTGATGGCATTTTGAGGTAAACACTTTCGAAGGTAATTAAGTCATGAGGGAGGAGCCTTCATGAATGGAATTAGTGCCTGTCTAAGAAGATACACAAGAGAGCTTTGAAAAAGGTGAAGGGATTGAGAAGTGCAGATCAGTAGTTACAAAATAGTCATGGGGATGTAAAGTACAGCATAGGAAATATAGTCAGTAATATTTTAATAACTATGTATAGAGCCAGTTGGGTACTGGAAATATCAGGGGGAACACTGGGTAAAGTATATGATTGTCTAACCACTATGCTGTACACCTGAAACTAACACAAAATAATATTAAATGTAAACTGTAATTTAAAACATTTAAAAATTTGAAAAAAAGTAAAAAATTAAAACAAAGAAACCAAGACTCTTGGATTTTTTTCAAGTGATTTTTCCATATTTATTAAGATGATCATGTGATTTTTGACCTTTATGTTATTAATATGATGAATTACACAAATTGTTTTTTAAGTTTAAATCAATCTTCCATTTCTGAGATAAATCCCACTTGGTAATGGTGTATAACACTTTTTAGATGTTGCTGGATATGATTTACCAGTATTCTGTTGAGAATTCTTTCATCTATATTAAAAAAGACATTAGTCTGTAGTTTTTTTTTTCCCCTTGTGATGTCTTTGCATGGATTTCATATAAGATAATACTGACCTTGTAGAGTGAGAAAGTATTGATATTATTTTTCTTTAAACATTTGTTGAAATTCATCAGTGAAATCATCTGGGCATGGGTTTTTCTTTGGAGGAAGTTTTTAAATGACTAATTCAAACTATTTATCATAGGTCTACTCAGATTTTATATTTCTTCTAGATGCAGTTTCAGTCTTTATAGGAAAGAAAGTAAATATTTATATATTTATTAACCAAGTCTATTTCTTTTTAAAAAATATATATTTTATTGATTTTTTACAGAGAAGAAGGGAGAGGGATAGAAAGTCAGAAACATCAATGAGAGAGAAACATCGATCAGCTGCTCTGCACGCCCCCCACTGGGGAAACCCCCGCAACCAAGGTACATGCCCTTGACCGGAATTGAAACCGGGGACCTTCAGTCCGCAGGACGGTGCTCTATCCACTGATCCAAACCGGTTTGGGGCCAAACCTTTTTCTTTTCATTTCTTTTTGCAATTTGAACAACCACCTTGTGTCATTCCTGGCTACAAAATAAAAAAAGTACCCGGCACTTTTTTTATGTTAATTTTAAATATGCTAGAGGCCCAGTGCACGAATTGGAGCACAGGTGGAATCTGGCCTCCCATCCCCAATCGGTGGATCGGGGCTGGACCTGTCAGGAGGAGACGGCAGGAGGTTACCAACTGGATCGCCCTGATCGGGCTGATCAGGGCCAGGCCGATTAGGGAGAGGGGCTGTGGGT